ATAAATATTGAAAATTAGAAGTTGATTTATCAAATAAAATCCATAAAGGTAATGACATTAAAAAAATGAAAAAAGACATAAAAATACTAAAATTTTTTATAAATTTTTCATTTTTTACAAAAGATAATATAATAACTGCAATCAATGGCAAAATAAGTAAAAAAATTAATATAAACTTATTAAACATAAAAATTTAAATAAATAAAATGGGCGAAAAATGGGACTTGAACCCATAACACTTAGACCCACAATCTAACACTCTACCTTTAAGTTATAATCGCCTTTTTAAATTTTTCTTAAATAATATATAAAATTTAAAAAAGGCTGAATTACTAAATTATTTAAAGGTGGATAATTTGCTTCGTTCCCGTCACTCATGGCGCTGCTGACAACGTATTTCACTACCATCCGCAAAATGGCGACGTCCAACACGCCGCAGTCCAAGAATCAGATCAAGAGCGCGCTCAAAGTGGTGAATGAAATTGTGCGTCTGTACGCGCAACTGCTTAAATCCATTCGCAAGGAGATGCACAAGGAGACGGTGTCCGAGATCATGCGCACATTTGTCGACATCTTCAACGACTCGCAGCTTTCAGGCGTGTACGTGACTTTGTTTAAACGGTGTGATTTAACATTGAAACTTATGTTTTTGTGGTGATTTTTATTTTAGATTATACAATTAAGGAAACGCTGGCTTGATGGTACTCTGTGGCTTCTTGCAGTTGCTGAAAATTGTCGTTGAAGAGCCGACTTCGGCCTTCTCGTCGTTTTTACAGAACATCCTGGACTTGTGTTTTGGTCCGCTTAAAGAGGTACGTGAAGAGTTTGTGTGTATGTTATTTATTTTTATTTAATAATGTTTTTTTTAGGTGATTTTCTCTCATCCAGAAAGCGACTCGGTCATCTTGGGCTACTTCGTGGCTTTAGTGGAGCAATTATTGGAGAAACACTACCGCTTCTTTATCGTTTACTTGGGTCAGTTCACTCCTGACGGCGCACGTTTCTATTGTCCCCCTACGAAGAGAGTCCACGGGGACCGGGATGGATTGATGAGATTGGTGATGCCAGAAACTTTACAACAGGATGTCCTACACCACTATCACGCTAGCTTGGAAGGCGGACATCAGGGCATTGGTCGGACCTACCACGGATCCGGGAATGTTTCCATTGGAGAGGACTATTCAAGAGTGTACAACGATATGTCGGTGAATGCGTGGATTGTGAGACAGGCAAGGCAGACCTACGATCGAAGGAGAGTCACCCTGGGAATGTCCAAGCGACTTACCCTTTCCAAATCATAGCCATGGATCACATCCCCTCGTTGCCCAAGTCGTTCAAAGGAAACACATAATTGTTGTTCTGGGTGGATCTGTTTACCGGATACGTGATAGCCAAAGCTAGTACGTCTAGAACTGCACAAACCATTGCTGAATCATACGAGGAGTGCGGTTTCGAAGATTTGGAGTTAGTGAGATGATTCGGCATGATCGGGAGCCAGGCTTTATGTCCGACTTCTTTTGAGCCTTCAACCGGATCCTGGGGCAGAGACAGCGGGCAACCATGGCATATCGTCCCCAAGCTAACGGATCGGCCGAACGCATGGTGCAGACAATCACGAGGGCACTCAAGATGTATGTCCAGGATCTGACTCAGAGGGACTGGGATGAGTACGCAGAACGACTCCCCTTCGCGATGATTACCGCCCAAGACAGGATCCGAGGTGATACCTCATTTTACTTATTACATGGGTGGGATCCCAAATCCACCCTAGAAGCGGCTATTCCAGTATTAGCACCAAGAAGAGAAACCGAGATCCAAGGCGATGGCGATACCAAGTCCAGAAATACTACCGGCAAGCTAGATCCCAGGTGAACGAACGACTGCGGAGTGCGATACAGGATCGAGCGGATCGACACAACGAAGACGCCCGTCCACATCTAATCCAAGTGGGATCGCAGGTGTGGCTTTATTTGGATTGAGTGAAAGAAGGATACGCCCGCAAATTGGCCCATCTATGGCATGGACCGTTCCGGGTGAGCGAGAAGATTGGATAACATGCGGTAAAGCTGGAAACGGCAGGTACCGAATATCGCCTGTTCCCTGTAGTACACGTATCCAAGCTGAAGTTGGTCAAAGAATACCCGGATCGGCCGCAGATCCGTCTTTCGGTGGATGGATCCGATCGCGTCGACTTCGACGAAGTCCTCCTACCGGAAGATAGTTGGAATGTGGATCTCGAAGCCGACGAGTTCGAAGTCGAGAAGATCATGTGGTGTAGCGGGATCAGCAAAATCTGCGAGATTGCCAGATCCAACTTACCAACTGCGCCCAGACACCGACTAACGGAGGGGGTCCCCCGATGATCCGTGTTCTGCTGAACTTTCCTCACCTTGTGTACCCGTCGGTAGGGCGGGATCTGCTCTCTCGGTAACTTCCGAAGAGTTCAAGTGGTGAAGCTTGAGTGTCTGGCGAGACGTGGGGATGGGGTGGAGCAGCAGTGGAAAATCTTCACTCTGCGTCCGTGGATGGTTCCGAATCCTAAGCGAATATTCGAGCTTATGGATCCGGGGCCTAGATCGTGGATCTGGCCGTAGGGCTGCCTTGCGGGTGTGTTCCCTTGCCTTTGTAGTTCCTTTGCGATGTACTTGCCGCCTCCTGTGACGGGATCTTGAGAGTTGAGATCTTCTAGGGTGTAACCGACCAAGTAGTAATTCGGTTAACCTGTTGGATCTGCACGTGTATAGGAAAAGCTCACTAGGTTGTAGGATCTGGCCAATGTATTATCCAGTTATCGCTACCAACACTAGGTTCGCAATTCCCAACCTTCTCCGAGCTCGTACAGCCAATGCAGTTCCGGTTGTTGAGGGCAGGAAGGCACTTGCGTGTTATCGTGCAAATAGAAGTCTGTATTGATATTTTAAGCCTATACCTGCCTGGATTTCTACCTTCTATGTCTTTCACCTGCTAAATCCCTTAGCCGGCTCGGCTGCATGTCCCTTCTTCCCCTTGACCCATCATCCCAGCTGTGTTATCTTCAGATCTACCGGATCCATGACGTAATCATTAGGGTCACCCTATTATGGGTACACTCATCCGGATCCAGGCCGCTTGGATCCACTTCACTGTAAGTGTACACTCGTCGTGGATCTGAGCTCTCCAATCATCCAACATCATCTCGCAACCGTCTGTGATCTCCATTGTCCCACGAAAGTCCCAGATCCACTGCATCCCTCATCCCTGTACCCTGGATCCAGGTCCTTCTATGCGGGATCTTCCCTCCTTGGATCCGAACTCGGAAGTATGGGATCCGGGACACCTCGCGGTGGATCTTGACTTCTCGTTAACCGTGGTTACTAGATCCACCTTCAGATGACACCTACCACCATTCCTTCATAGGATCCACACTCGATCCACTCTTATATAGTATATCCCATATCCGTCTAAGTGGATCCAGGTAAGGGTGGATCCGAGATAAGTCTTGGTAGATCTTGCCTTCTCGTACATCGCTTATACCAGATCCATCGTCGTCTCATACGGGGTGCTGCTCGTCATGGCTAATCCACGTGG